CTTCTTGTAGGCCCCCTTCAGGTACTGGAAGGCCACTATAATGTCTCCCCGGAGCCGCCTTCTTTCCAGGCTGAACAAGACCAACTCTCTCAGCCTGCCCTTGTAGGAAAGGTGCTCAACCCTCTGACCATCTTGGTAGCCCTCCTGTGGACTCGCTCCAACAGTTCCATGTCTTTATTGTGTTGGGGGCTCCAGAGCTGGAACACAGTACTCCAGGTGGGGTCTGCCCCCCCAGAGCAGAGGGGCAGAATCACCTCCCTCAACCTGCTGGCCACACTTCTCCTGATGCAGCCCACGATGCAATTGGCTTTGTGGGTCGTGAGCGCACATTGCTGGCTCATGTCCAGCCTTTCATCCACCAGCACCTCCAAGCCCTTCTCCCCAGGACGACTCTCCATCCACTCATCGCCCAGCCTGTGTCTGCGCTTGGGATCACCTCGACCCAGGAGCAGGACCTTGCACTTAGCCTTGTTGAACCTCATGAGGTTTGCAAGGCCCCACCTCTCCCGCCTGTCCAGGTCCCTCTGGATGGCATCCCTTGTGGAATACAACCTAGTATCACCAAAACTGTGCTTTCCATTCCCTTCTTTGTCTCAACATGCACAAACAGACCTTAAAAAGCTCCTCAGGAAATGGAATAAATCCACAAGAAGCTAAAAGAATACATGCAGAAGAACTCACTTCATGCTAACCCCATTATATTTTTCCTTTAAAATCTGCTGATAGTTGTCAAAGACAAGGAAGCAGTCAAAAATCCACTCTGAATGATAAGGTATCAAAAGAAAATTGTATAAATATTTTTTAACTTTGCACTGAAAAGTGTTCTTTCAGCCTTAAAATGTGTAACATACTGTGGCCTGTGCCAGTCTTTATTATGCACAGCTCTGAAAATGGCACCTTCTACTGTACTGAAATTGCCTAGCACATTCTTCTTCAGCTACTGCTTAAAAGGAAATTGTCTACCGAATCAATAAACCAAACCAGCTTTAGAAAAATTTGGATAGTCTGCAGTGCTGGGAAGGATCTGTGCAGACACCACTGGTACAAGCTGTTCCTCAACCTATGTGTATACATAATACCATAAACTAAATATGCCAAGTTTTAATGGTTATTTTTCTTAATTAAAAATGTGTCTACTTATTGAGTGTTGAAACTGTTTAAATTCTAAATCTTTACCAAGCCCTGGTAAAAGCCAATCATCATTTCAAATATGAAGGAATTTGTGCTTCGTTCTCAAAGCACTGACAATATTGTTTTCTATGGCAGAGGGGATGGGGGATGTTTGACTCTCTAGCAGAGGTTACTCAACATAGTATCTTAAAGCAGTAGAAAAGATGCCCAAGCCTTTTCAAAATCACCTCCATCAGGCTCTTTTACCTCTACAAAAGGAGGAAAAAAAAAAAAAAAAAAAAAGACGTTGCAGGCAAAAGACCACGTACTGATTTCTCAGGGGGATCACTTGCTAGCTACTTAATAAATGCAGTACAGTTAAACAAACCTCTACAAAAAAACAGGACCGTAGTAATTTCCTGCTTCAGGGCATAACTTGTAGAATTGATGCTTTTATATGTGTTAAAGCAGATAGGGGGCTAGAAACTCTTATCTGTAGATATACAAGTTATTTAGTATCCTGTTTCCAGAAAGTTTTTTCACTGGGCTGGTATCAGACCGACATGCAGAAATCCCTGTAACCAGACTAAAGCAATTTGCACACGAATGTATTTCAACCTCTGCCTCAGATCAGGCTATGCTATTCACAATTGCTCTTGAAGCCTGCAACTGGACAGAGACAAAAAATATTAAAATAAAAAACTGCATATTTTATTCTCAGCTTTAAAGATGCATCTCTAAACAATCAGTAGAAAAAAAAACAAGTAAAAAAGTAAACACCAGCATTTTGTAAAATCACATTGAACTAATATAAGACTTAATACAAAGTTTTTATACACCACTCAAATGCAGTTAAAAAAAAAAAAAAAAAAAAGTAGTCTGGTCTCCAAGACCCCTTCTACTTGAAATAAATCGTTAAGTAACCACAGATTTTAACTATAAACCAAGGATACATTCTTTCTTCTTCCATTTACGAAGCCGACCGCCATGTACATCAACCATTTGCAAGTGAAACTCACATAGTCTCAGTTACAAAATTCAAGAGAACACATAAAATTCCATGACTGAAGTCCTTCCGTTTTCAGTACAGGCTCTTTATCTAGTCAACCCTTGTCACATATCTTTAGACTGATCATCTTCTTCAAGTTTTCTGATTTCATTCTTTAAACAGTTGATGGTTTCACGACTTGCTTTTAGTCTTTCTTTAAGCTCAGCAATTTCAAAGCTAGTTTTCTTTTTGGCAGCTTCCAGCTTTTCCCTGGTTTTCACTTCAAGATCTGCAACTGTAGTGGTGATAAAGAAGAATAAATACTTAAGCACGATGAAAAGTTGTAATTATTATTTATTTTAAAATTGCAACAGTAATTTGGATGGTGTGTATCCTGAACAAATCTATCACTGTTAGCCTTAGAGGTGCAATGATTGTAGGAAAATGGTATCCAAAAAGACCGCTGGAATTAAAAAAAAGGGAAAAAAAAAAAAAAGCAAGCTTGTTCTGTGGCCTCATTCAGCAGTTTTGTGGATGGATTTATATAAGTCACTAAATCATTTTCCAGATCTTTTTGAAGATTAAGTAGGGGGAAAAAAACCCTGACATGGCGACACAAATAAATGGGAGATTACAGAGCATTACAAGTAATTTATATGTGGTGCCCAGCGACAGCACGTGAGGCCATGGGCAAATCTGAAACAGAGGAGGTTTCCCCTGAACATAAGGAAATTTTTTTTCACTGTGAGGGTGACCGAGCACTGGCACAGGCTGCCCAGGGAGGTTCCGAGGTGGAGCCTCCATCCTTGGAGATATTCAAAAGCCATCAGGACACAGCCCTGGGCAACCTGATCCTGGTGGCCCTGCTTGGGCAGGGGGCTGGACAAGGTGGCCTCCAGAGATGCCTCTGCATCCTACCTGTGGTTCGTTTTCTATGTACTGTAACCACTTCCTACTCTCCCTCTCACTGGAGTTTTAATTCTACGTATCTAAAAGATTTTTTGCCTTTGCTTTTACAAATATCTGACACTAGGACATCTCGATCTGATTTATTGACATGTCCTATTTTATTTTATTTTTTTTTTAATTTGTTCATGAACAAGTTTTTTGACAAAGCTGATAAAGCAAACAAATCCATGGAGGCCACAGATACCCTTCATATCCCATACATTACATAATTGTGGGCAGTAGCAAAAAAACACCCAAAATCTTAATTTTTATCTGCTTCAGTGGCACATTTTAAAGAAGTATATACAAAACACCCACCAAAAGTTTCTATCTACTCTCAGGAGAAATATCCAGAAATTTTAAGTCAGAAAAAAAAGTTTAAAATTCGGACGAGACTTTTTTATTATTCAAATTATTGAACATTTTCTACACGTGAAGTATAACAACATGCAATATAACAAAAACCCACCTGAAGACTGGCTAAACTGAGGTAGAAAACACATGTAGCTCACATGTCCACACACCCAAACAGACACAGGGCACACTAGAACCCTGGCTTTGTAGGGCTTCAAACTCATAACCACTCTCAGCTCTAGGTATTCACTGCCTAAAAATACCTGACACTTGTTGTTAGTGGAACATGCAGGTAAGCCAAAGGCCAGGTGAGCCGGACTACAATGGCATTAGTTAGTAACTAACAAGGCAGGATCTGGGCTCAATAAATATTACGTTTGCTTTCTGAGAGGAGAAGATGAAATGAAATTTCATCCAAAAAAATTTCATCAAAAGATGAAAATTTCAGAGATGAAATCTAGAAGATCAGAACAGAAATCATCACTAAATGCATTCTATTTTATGAATCAATGCATTTTGATTTTATTTCTTTAATTCCCTTAATATTCTGGTTTAAAGACAGATTAGACAAAAAGGACGCAAAGACCATGAAGCTATACTGAAGACTTATGTTATGAAATCACCTACAGTTACAGAATGAGACAGAAGGGAAAAAGACAGGAAGAGCTCTCAGACACTACTCTTCATCCCCAAGGGCTGCCGTTTTCACTTAAACTGTTCTGTATTTCAGTGCTTAAAGTGTGATCTTTGCTCGCAGTCAACATCCCGATGAGCTGAACGAAACAGTACCACAAATGCAGTGGCCTTAGTTTATTCTGTTTTAACTCATTTCAAAGATGTGAAACTAGGCACAGATCATGCCATCACTCTTCATACTGAATAATTCATAAATCCTCCCCCCCCCGCCCTGCAGGCATACAAATCAGAAAATCTTATGCTTTCAAATAAGTATTAGTATCTTTGCAGAAGTTGAAGCTAACTCAATGCAAAACCATCACTTTTTAGCAGCATCCAAATCCATTGTACTGTCACAGCCCAGAAAAAAAGAAAGTAAACCCAACTATTGGTAATTTATAAAATTAAAATATTCTAATTTTCAACTTACACTCTGTTTCATGCTTATAGGCACCTAGCGTTAGCTGACGAGACGTTGTTAACAGCTGCTGCATCATCGCAGTAGGATCCTGAAATATCTAACAAAAGAGAAAAATACATGGTATCACTAATACTCTCAAAAATAAAGTAAGGACTACATTAAAAATTTTCATACCATTTCGTCATAGAATTCAGAAACTACAGTTTTCTTTCCCAGGATGGCATTGGTATCAGACTGAAAAAGCTTCAGCAAGTGATACAAGGTTACCTACATAAAGACAGAATTTTATTAGCTTGACAGTTGGAAGGAA